CGAATACATATTAGCTAGAAACGGTTGGGCCGTTTGACAAAATGGAGTTTGAACTCACTAATGCCCATCAAATTGAATATAAAAAATCAATTTGCTCTTCAACCATTAAATTCATACGAATTCGTATCTAATTCCCTTTTTATTATAAGTCCATTTATCAAGACAAGTTCCCCGTATTAAGGTTAGCAGCCATTTTTCATTGGGATCCTCTGATTGGACAGGCATGTCAGGTGACGTCATAATGGCGGCAAAAGTCGTTAATTTGTAAAATGAAACTGTCGCGTCGCCATATTTGAACTTTTTGGTATTTTCGATCAATGTGTCTTGAGGTGTATGAAGTGGGCTGACATTTTGACTTGATATTAAAATATTAGCATATCATGTCTCAGCAAAATGTGGTTTATGCGTGTGCGTGTGATTTATAGCCATTTCTAGCTATATTGCCAATGATTTTGTCAACGTAGGTTGTAAAGAATTTTGTGGCTTTGTGGCTAGCAAAACTTTGCTAATAAGAATATTACTATACCGATATCCGCTATATTACTCACACACTCACACCTATTACCTGTTTTCCTCTAGAATCTTCAGTTAATAATACAGCAAATTAAGCAACGTTTTCACACATTATTTCCTATGTTCTATTAATATTATAATGTAGGACGACAATCATCTGCCCTCATCTGTCCCATGTCTGCAGTATGTCCCAAATTTCCGGGACGACGTCGCGACCCTGACATACCCATAATAGGGTCACTAATACCCTTTCTACATCGCAATTTTTAATTTACCTCTTCTTATTTCATATTTGCCTGGTATTATTCGTTTGATTCTTTATATTTCTTAATTTTATTTTCAATGTTTTATAATAATATACACCTACTTACTTTAGTAACTTTTTTGGTTTCATTGAGCATTTAATTTAATTTAAGACGAAATTAATTATTTTCTGGAAAATATTTCATTACATTTTATGTTATTTTATCTTCACTTTAATTACTTTAATATACATAGAGGAAAATCATTTAATGTACGTCACGTCTGAAACCGAATCCAATAATTATCATGCTATCGCTAGTTAAAAGTATTTGCGGTGGATCATTTGTGATTTTGATTTGTTGAACTGACAAAATATCAGTTTACATTTATTTCATATCAGAATGCTGTTCATTTTTGTCACGACAAAGCCCAAAATAAATAAAGCTAGATACTCTCACGTGGTTTCGCCCGCTGCTCGGCGCGATTTGATGTTTTATTAAACATTGTAGCTATATATGAGTGAAAGAATATTGGCAAACCGACTAGCAGTTCCAAATAACAATACATACAATTACAGTTCCAATACATACAAACTTACTAACTTACAAAATTTACCTCTTTATAATATTAGCATAGATGAATTATGCAAGTTTCTTCTAACACGAAGTACTTCTCAAAGAATAAGGCGCGTGGTGAAATGACATAGACTGGTATTATAAAAAAAGTATAAGGACGATGAGCCTTATGAGTACCTATAAAGCTCTTAAGGACATAATATTTCCTGCTCCCTTTGAGTTTTATAAGACGGGATTACGGAACCATGGCTCTGGCATCTTTTACATAACATTAATTACAAGTGCATCCATACAGTTTTGAGTAAATATTATTATTTTTCGGAAGTTTATAGAAAAGCACGGATTTTATTGTATGACAAAAGGTCCCTAATTCTTTATATTGGACAATCCCATTATATGTCAGAAAAAGAGCGAGCTACTTTCCTATGCTGACGTCAAAAAATTAAAGAAATTTCGAAAAGATTTTTTTGTTCGTAGCTTATACATAAACACATCTTTATTCATAAAAATTAAACGATTTCCAACAATAAACCCACGCTAAACGCCAAGCCCAATGAAAACCATGCTCTGAATAAACCTTAAAGCTAATCGTCCAATAAAATTTTCCATAAAATAATTGCAGAATAAAGCTGGCAGATTTTAAAAAGATTTTATTCGCCGTCCGCACTTTACCATCGACAGTAAAGGACTAAACAACCCTTTAGTGCCGCCATAAACCAGTACGTTTTCTTTATCCAAGTGGGACTTAAATCAAGATGCTGTCCGCAACACGCATTGCGCGCGAACGGGATTTTATTAAACCTGCAGTTGAGAACAGATGTAATGCAATTGCAGCCAGCTGCGGTGGGGTTAAGAATTTAAACTTTAATTATTTTTACTCGAGTTCTTGATTCAAAATTGTGGTTGTGTTCTGTTTATGTTTGTGAATAAACTTATTGTTCCGGTTTCAACTGGTTTCCTGTCTTTTACTGTAGTTGCATTGTATGTTGTTGTAATTTCTTAATGTTATCGTGTATCTGATGAACGATGAAGGGTAGGAGCTTTATATTTTGGTTCGATGGCGTGCGTCGATTGGCCGACGTGAAACGTAAGTAAGGCTACCGATGCTTCAATTTCTCACTCCCCTCTCCCCATAATTCCTCAATCGTCAAATTCCTTATACTAAAATCCCTAATAAGCTAGAAAAGGAAAGGACTTGTAGTAACTTCTTTGGTATTACCATTTTCTCATGACGGGTGGCGCCGATTGCTTACCACCACGGAGTAAAACCAAGGCCTTTACCGCTCCCGTCCCCAATCGTAAAATCCTACAATCTCGAACCTCAAAAGGCCCTCAAGGCACTTGATAATTTTGGTGTTACGAGTGTACGGACACTCGCCCATGGGGGCGGCGGCGATTTCATATCATCAGGTGATCCGTCCTCTTCCATTTATCCGTCCGACTAATTGTTTTCCTACATATTATCCAAAAATTATAGTTTCAGTTATATGAGAAAAATGTGAACAAAAGATCACTTCCAAATCTGATCTGATCAGGAAATCATACATGAAGCTTTTATTCTGTTATGGACATTTTGTAGTGGACATGATGATGATGATGAACAAAACATTTCATCCAAAGCGACCTATCTCAAAAACAAAATTATCTAAAGCAATTTGCAACACACATATTCAGCATCACCCATGTACGTATTGCATTTTTTTTACAAAACTCAGAACACATCCATGTATTCTGAATCAAAAATCGATTACGAATAAGGTAACAAACTCCTAATCACAAATACTTTGTTTTTTAATCCCAATCTATACAGAACACAGTGAAATTGACCAACAGCGAAAAAGAAGAGCGAATGGGTCGTTATCTATGAGGCATACACACTTCACACCAAACACCAAACCGTCAGTCATTTTCATTGAAATATCAACTGAATCACAAAAGAATTGAGTTGATAATGATAATGATTTAAGTGTGGGAGAGCCAAATGCTTCGGCACGAATGGGTCGGCTCGACCGGAGTGATACCACGGCCTCACAGAAAACCGGCGTGAAATAACCACAGCGTTGTGTTTCGCCGTGTAAGTGAGGTTACCGGAGGCCCAATCCTTCCCCTCCCCCAATCCCTCCTAAATCCCTAAATCTCCAAACCAAATCCCTAATCCCTTAAAGGTTGGCAACGCACTCGTAACTCCTCCATTGCGAGTGTCCATGGGCGGCGCTGATTGCTTACCATCAGGTAATCCGTCTGCTCGTATGCCGACCTATTAAATTAAAAAAAATCCAATAAAAATATATTTGGATAAGGATACCTTGATCTGCGTTCGTATTTACATTGTTTTCTATAGGAACGCAGTGAAACATGGCTAGTGAATATTGCAGTAGTGTCCCGGCTCCCGACAAATTACCAACAAGACTTGAAAGAATGCTTAACTTACTTGTCCGTTCTTTTAAAAGAAATGCGTCGTACTCTTGCTATTAGATACAAGTTAAACTAAGTTAGAATAAGTTAGATGAATGAATAGAACAATGTAGTTTTCCATTCGGTTTAATTTACTTCATGTTCTATTTTGTATAAGATCATTTAGGAACATGTTTTTCGAATGCTATTAGTAAGGCAATTGTTATGTCGTTAACAAGTGGTTTTTTGGTTTACAAATTGCTTAAGTATTTTAACTATTTACATATATTTGCGTAAAGCAGACCTTATTTCTTATGAAACTGTTTTGTTGGATGAACACAAATCAATAGCCTATTTTGATCTTCTTCAGTTAGTCTATACTAATGTTATAAAAATATATAAGTTTGTATGTAGTTAGGGGGTAATCTTTGGAACCGCTTGTGGGATTTCCAAAATTCTTTCATTAATAGATAGCGACAATGTTCCTGAGTGCTATAGGCTTGATTTGCTTGTTTTAGCCTACCTATCGCTTTAAACGCTGTTTTTTTTTGAAATCTCGGGTACATTAGTTTCAAACATGCGAAGCAGCAGACGGAAGCTAGCATTGTTTAAATTTTCTGAATGTTTTAATAAAAACGACCTTTATAAACGATTGGTGTATTTACAAAATCAGTCTTCATTGAGTAAATTATGCTGTATACAGACGGTAATCTGGTTTAATCTCTAAATCTAATTATAGGTGAAATCGTTGTAGACGTAGAAGGCGTCATCAATGGCACCGGCTTAGTTGGTGGTAATGGCGTGGCTGAAGGGTTAGGTTTCAGCGTCGCTGTCGCTATCGGCGTCGCCTGTGGCATCGATATCGTTGAAGGCGTCAACGGTATTGGTGACATCGGTTTCGTCAACTCCCCTTTAGTGTTATCCACAAGAGTTGCGTTCACTTCAGGCCACACAACACTCTCGATCCAGTCAATGAACTTGGCTACCTTAGTGTACACTCCCGGCAAGCCTGGAAGCGCACAGCCAATACCGAATGACGTCACACCTACCACATAGTGCATAGTTCCTTGGTTCAAGATCGGAAGTGGAATCTTCACTTGAAGTGGACCGCCGGAATCGCCCTGGACATAAATGATCATTGTATGTATTATGTCAACTAAGTATAGTCCACACGTTTATTTAACACATTCAGTGCCCCCGACGCGTATGTGCGTTTCCTCGCACGCACATACGCGTCGGGGGCACTGAATGTGTTAAATAATGAAAAAACGACTTTTAGGCTACCTGGCAAGCATCAACACCTCCTCCCATTTTACCAGCACATAGCTGATCAGGTTGTAGGCCACACCAATTCCTGTTGCAAGACCTCGCCAGTAGCTTGTTACATTTATGGAAGTCAATTATGTCCACAGTAGCTGCTTGGAGTTCTGGTGATGTCTTTAGAGTACCTGAAAAACAAGATTTTTTTACTAGGACATCATAATCTACTACGATATCTTGATATAGTATGTGTGATCTACGGCGCATATACTACTAAAAATTCAATAGTTTTCTTTTCGTCAGATAGAAAAGTGTAGTCAGATGCCGTTTTACGACCTTTTTGAAAAAAATATTTCATTATTGTTTGTTTGATAAAAAAAATCCTCAGAACACCATATAGTAATAATGTTGTGCTTAATTATTAAAATCATAATTTATAATTGTAACACATACCTGACTCTATAACACCCCATCCAGTAACTTGGGCTTGATCACCATACCTGGTGATACTGTCCTTGGTCCACAAGCAAGCTGGTTGTATGTTCATGTTAAACACAATCTCTTCTCCAAGTTTCATAACTGCGATATCAAAATACTGCTTAGGAGCTGTATACTTTGGATGGTTGATAATCTCAATGATAGCTGCATCAAATCTGTCGTCAACCTAGAGTGTTTTTCCACATAATTACTATTTATGAATTCATAGTATTGACAAGTGAAACTTCTTAACAATAATACTTACAGTATCTTGTATATTCTTATCTCCTAATCTCACTATTTTCGGAATGACGTCAGCGATGGTGGTATCTCTCGACGATGCTTTGGAGCAATGCGCGGCAGTGAGCACAAATCTTGAGCTAATAAGTGTACACCCACACAAAAACTTCCATGTACCAATGACCGCTTTCCATCCGATCGCACCCTGGTATTTAAAATTAATAGAAAATATAATGATTTAATAATAAAGAGACTGAAGCGCTGTAGTATTTTACGCCACTACTGAACTACTTATCTTGTTCTTCACTTACCATGTTCGGATAGTCCCCCTCGAATGTAAAGTGACCTCCTACAACATAAGGGGCCATACCTCTAGACCTTATTTCGAAACCTAAACAGTGATAAATCAGAATTAGAGAGTTGAAATAGAATCCTTTTTTAAAGCATAAAAATACAAAATTTGCTTAGCTCTTTTATCTTCATACTCACACTCGTTTTCTTGTCCTGCTTTATCACTTCTCATTTTCATTTGCCAAATATATTCAAAACATTCTGCAATACGAAATAAGAAAATATTATAATCAACTCTTGTAATCCAGTGACCAAATATTCAAAGATACAAAAACTTTATAATAACTTACTCATTTCACTGACTCTTCTACCAGGCGCGCTGAAGTCTGGTTTAGGTGGTGGAACGAAAGGGGTACAGGCAGGTACGGGAACTACAGGACCACTTAGGAAAGTATATTGATGAGGTATTGGAGCAATATGGCGGGCTGGTGTAACATTTGGCCTTGGCGTTGTAGTGTGTGATATTGGAAATTTCCGAGAAGTGGGTGACGCAGTAGGGGTAGCTATCGGGAGAGGCGGTACAGAGGTTGTGGTTGAAGAAACTGAAAACCTATTTAATAACAATGATAACATTGGTGAAGTTAACGTAGCTGTAGTGGAGGATGGCGATACAGTTGATCCAGTGGACGAACTGGAAGTTGTTGAAGATGCTGCAGTAGATTCAGATTTAGGTTCATCGGGTGTTAAAGCATTTAGAAGTGGAGGTACAGGCTGTTGACTAGCTTCATCGATTGCTACATTTTCACTAGCCGGTGGCTGAAATTCGAATAAATTATGTTAATAAGCCATTAGTTTGTTCTAGGCCACGAAACCACCCCCACAGGGCGTTGCATATTGCATCAGCAGGCAATGTTATCACCATAACCAGAGGCCTTATGGTTTCCATCCTTACTAATGATTCCGATACTTACCTCAGAGCTTTCTGATGTAGATGTTGTTTGTCCAAACGAAGACACTGCAAATTATTTTAATAACACTTAGTTCGGAATACATAAATATGATATTAGTATCTTGCAAGTTACAAAAGGATAGTTAATAATAAAATATTTACCTATGAATGAAAACACTAAAACAACACACAAACGATTCATCGTAACAAAAAAACTATAATCATTTATTCAATAAAATCAAATGCACGTCCATAACTGTCTAAATAAACAGAATAATTGATATGATACTGAACACGTTTTCATCGATTTACAAAACATTTTAATATCTAAACAAATTAATACTCTCATAATGATTTTATTTAGATAAAGTAACATAATTGCCAAAATAATTAACAGCGATAAACTTAATAATAAAAAAAGTCACTGTATAGTTTAAAACACCTGAACGTACTATTAAGATACGAAAATATCCGTATGAGATTCCGAAACTGATTTCTTACTATGACCAGGCTTTCATAAACATCTGGATATTCAATTCCTTTGAAGAATATTATGTCTCTCCCGGCCACACTATGCTCTCGATCCAATCAGCGAAACTTGCTACTCTAGTATAAACTCCTGGTAGCCCTGGTAATCCACAGCCAATACCAAATGACGTCACACCGACTACGTAGTTCATATTGCCTTGAGTCTTTATTGGAAGAGGAATGTTAACTTGGAGTGGTCCTCCTGAATCACCCTGGAGAATAAAAAAAATGTTAAGGATGTGGTTCTCAAACTGTACTAGGTTAGTTTTAAAACTATACTAATTTGGCTTGCTTTAATTGGAAAGGTCTTTATTTTAGATGAAAGTTTAACAAAACAGTTACTTAGATATTGAGATTATTGCTAATGTATTAACGGAAAATAGCAACAAAAGAACTAACAGTTTATATATGGTCAACCTAAATAGGGTTGAATAAATTCACTAATATTTTGTTTACGTACAAAATCACTACAAACCTGACAGGCATCCTTTCCACCATTTAATTTGCCAGCACAAAGCTGATGTTCTTTGAGCCCACACCAATTTCTGTTGCAAGATCTTTTCAGAAGACCATCACAAGTATTCGAATCTATGAAGTCTACTTCTGCAGCCAAAAGATCAGGAGATGTTCTCAGGCTTCCTGTGGATAATGGAAAAAATATCATTTTTTAAGTTATCGTCATAATTTTTTTATTTTTCTTCCAAAAATCACCTCGCAAAACTATGTATTTGCCGTCAAAAAACTGTTGAACCTACGCTAGCGTGGCCCATACGGTGTCCCCCATGGCGTTCAACGTGTTAAATATATGAATAAACCTGGATTGGAGTGAAACCACATCCAGCTCTCCAACCCCTAAATCCCAAAAAACCCCTACCACCTCACGTCTCCCGGCCATGGCTAGTGTGGCCGCTCATAGAAACCCCTTATCATCAAAAAGCCGACAACGCACTGCCGATACCTGCACCTCTTCTAGTATAGTGGGTGTCCATGGGTGGCCATCCGTAAATTCGTTAGTTTTAATATTTTAAAAAATCGGTCACATTCGTAAAACAAAGCACATGCGATTACCATTTACATCCTTCCACTGTTAATTTTAATTCTCTATGCATATCAACTACTCCCTACCTGATTCGATGACTCCCCAGCCAGTAACCTCAGCAGTCTTACTGAACGTGCCAATATCAGGTTTGGTCCACAAGCAAGCAGGTTGGACATCTCGTGAAAAATAGACTTTTTGGTCCACTTCCATTAAAGCGATGTCAAAGTATTGCTTCGGTGACTTATATTGGGGGTGAACAATTATGTTAACAATGTTCACATCGTAAGCTGCGATACCATGTAAGTCCTGGGGGGATGTAAAAATATCAATTTTTTTTTTCAAGATTTTCTGCTGACATAAAATAAATAAAATCAAAATTAAAAATGTTAAGTCAATAAATCATTTTTGATTTCCACAACCATCCCTAAACATTTCATGTTAGTACTTTTTTATTTTCTATAAAAATGATGATAATTATAAAATAATTGAGTACGAGAATTGGGTGTAGGGATCTTCTAACCTAAATTTTTATTTCATTTATACAAAAATATAAGACATCGAAATCTATCCAAATAATTTCCCCGAAAATGTATTCAAATACGAACCTAAAATCATGCTTCAAAGAACAATCCCGAAAATGATTTTAATAAAACACAGCCTGGTTTCTTGAAAACTGAACTTTTTATGAATCTATTTTATTCCCTCCCTCCCAGACACTCTGTGATAAATTTTATTCGTACAATCGTACTATAAAACTGAAGTATTCAGATAAGCTCTTACAAATTACAATCCATCAAATAATGAATCCCTATCTGAATTGAGTAATCTTAACTGGATATTTTGATGTATTAGGCAAGTAAGATTTCTGATTTACTGCCATTTATATCCACAGTTAATTGCAACACGAATATAAGTACAAATAGGAAGACATTAGAATAGAAATATAGAAGGATCATACACACAGGGAGGAGGATTTGCCACCTGGGTAAATTCTCTCAACAGCTCTAAAGTTTAGGGGATTCCACACTTCAGTAGAAAGGTGGCCATTTTTAACGTGGCGATTTACGCCTTGGAGAATTCTTGGGAATGCGTCACGCCTTAAGAACATATAAAGTTACGTCAATGATCCACCGCTTCTAGATCATTGTAAAGAACTGATTGACACTAGTAAGTGTCAATCTATCAATCAGTAAGTACTCTTTGTGTTTTATGCCACTCTGGCCCAAACATATGAGAAAAGAGTCTTCTCCGATATTAACAATAAACTTTGGAATTACTCACATGATCCGTAATGAACCTTGATCCCAGTCGTACGATCTTGGGCACTGTATCAGCAATGGTAGTATCCAAAGATGATGCACGTGAGCAATGAGCAGCCGTCAGTACGAAGTTCGGACTTATCAATGTACCGCCACACATGAACCTCCATGTTCCGATAAATAGCTTCCAACCTATGGCACCCTGGTACATGTAGATGATTAAATTCATTAATAAGGAAAAATATTCATAAGAATATGAATTATCTTTTTACAAACGAATTAATTTATTCAATTATCATAAGTTCACTTCCAAAACAGATTTTTTCTCATGCAAATATTTTTTTCAACTTTTTAATACAGCAAAGAAATCACACCATCGTAATTTGTGTTTATGACAAACTCATTTTAAAAAAAATATGGCACATGCACGTCGTTGCTCTGATATGACAAGTTGTAATATATCGAAAGAATACTGATATTATACTAGTACAATACTGTACAATGTAAGTTCAATATTAAAACGTTATTTCATATTCTTCTAATAGAGTCAAAATATGTACTTTCTTACCATGTTTGGAAATTCACCACGTTTGGTTAGGCGCCCACCCGTGATACCAGGGACAGGACGAATTTCACTACCTTTAGATGAAAAAATTTATATGTACTACTCATAACACGATTCTATTTTTACTTTTGGGTGTACACACACAACTAAAAACAAAGTTAACTTACATTTTTTAAACCTTTTTTCTTTTATATCCCGTATTTTTACTTGCCAGATGTACTCGTAACATTCTGAAATAGAAAGTGATAAAAAACACCTATGTTTAAATAATGTTAAAACAAATATTTTTTTGTTAATATATGGCTAAAAACCATACCAGGGATACCAGGGTCGCATAAGCAATAAAATGCAAAGTATAATCAACTCTACAGCCATTGAACAAGTAACGATTATCTACGTTTGAAAACTGGTTGGCACTTGACCTGTTCTCTAATAATCAAGGACAGGTAAAGTTATTTTTTTTATTAATAACTTGTGTACCTGGCTAGTCACGATTGTAAAGAGCAAATTATAAAACATAGGAGAAAGGAAGATCATTAAAAATTCTAATGTAACATTAGGTTATAACGTGAAATGAAACTATTGATGGCCAGTTTTAATAAGTCAATACCAGAGTTGGTTTTGCTTCAGGCTATTAGTCTGTTATACAGATAGTTTTTTCTAAAGGTCAGAGACAATGAGTTCATAAAAACAGTCTTGTATCAAGGCAATATTTAAATGTGAAAAGAAAGAAAGCAGTCGACCATGAAGATATAAGAGGTGGAGGTATAATATCAGGGTTGTCGAGAGAGAGAGAGAGATGAAGAAAAGGGGGCATATGAGTTTACGGGTCAGAAAATGATAGCAAATAACGTCAACCATGGACACATATACCACAAAATTGCATTGCCGGCCTTTTAATATTTCCCTCATCTAACTTATTGGTATTTTAAGTTTTGTACAAGTAAGTAGTTACTTACTCACGTCGCTAAGCCTTCTACCAGGGCCCCTGAAGTCTGGCACAGGTGGATCATATGGCGCACACGGATCATCAGTGATATTGTAGGACTGGCTTAAACTACCCGCCAATGCGGATGGAATGGATCCCAGTTGTATGTTTTCTATGTGGTCATTTGATAACTGCAATCACATAATAAGCCAAGCCTTAAAAAAATTAGTTGAGACATAAAAACAAGTGCAAAGACTAAAGTTCCTTGTTCACTACTCAAATTAGGAAAATACTACCTCATCTTCGGGGATGGTTCGGTAATGTAACGTTTTGTCACGGCAAAATATTATAATCTATGTAATAAAAAAACTATTTCTTATAAAGAAATTACATTTTCTCATATAGCTAATTTTTCTTAAACGGAAAAGCCACAATGTAGAATTAATTTCATTTGATTGATATCATTCATATCTTTGAACAATCTTGATTACCAGGGCATCATAACCTTGACAAGATCACGATTTGAAACGGACACTAGGTATTAATGAGAGATGATAAATTTAATATGATGAACAAGTCTAAATCGAATACATTAACAATGTATACAACATTCTTCATTATAATCATGTTATTGTTTTGCTTTTCAAGAGAGTTGCAGTTGAGAAAATAATGCAGCATAGCAGCAAAATGTGTAACGTTATTCTGATATCAATGATAGCTCCTATTTTTAAAATTATAAATCAAACCAAGGTATATACGATGATATGCGAAATAGTCCTTCTTCTTCCCATTTCCCCTGTTTATCAAAATCATCTTTCATACGCTATCATCCCTTTTAATCCTTCAACATTTCACCGCATTAATCATTACATGGATATTATGAACCTTTATCACACATGTTTTTTTTTTCAAATTATCTTTACATCATTCTCCACTTCATTAATCTCTCATTCTTAACCATCTTCTTCCCCTTCATCTATCAAATGAATAACTTAGGTATCATTTTTATTCTATTCAGTTAATCATTAAAATAGTAATACCGGTTTTTCTAGTATTTACCTTAGAACCATCCGTAGAAACATTTTGTCGTCCTATCGTCACATGTAATATGAACACTGCAATAGATCATTATTCATATTATTATCACCAAAAAGATGTATTCCTAAAAACATTTCACATTTTATCACTTAACAGTATTTGTCTTACCAAGGAAACATAATATTTGAGGAGTTTGTATGACACTCATGTTGATACAACTACAACAAACGTAATATATGTGTTGCTCGCTAAACTATTCACACATGACTGAGAAACTATTATTAAAACACAACCTGTCTATAGAAGGAAACAATTTGTTGACTTTACTCAAGAATAGTATGTTTTATTAAGAATTATTATAGATTACTAAGCTGCTGCTGCAACGACTATCGAGAAGAAATTTTGATTAGTTTACTAAACAAAGTCATTCCATGAAATACACAGAATCTATCCGGGATAATCCTGTTCTCTTTTAGACATTAAACTATCTTGAGATAATTCTGTGTGTTGGTTCAGAATACTAAATTATCATAATTCATCTTTATCCTGTCCAGCTGGAGTTCTGGGGTAAGCGCAATCAGGCCCTGCGGCCTTTGCCAAGAGCAGCAAAAGGAACGGAGGGTTTTTATTCAGTAAGAGTCTCACTCCCGCCGTACCCTGGACGCGATAAATCATTTGATGATTTTCCCCTCACATAAAAAAAAAACTATATCCTGTCGAATACCATCCAGATACATCTTTAGCTTGATTATGAGACAAACAGTCAAAAACTTTATAATGCCACATTTTTCGATATATATTATATAAAATCATATGATTGTACTTGTCTTTATTCCGCCGCATTCTTAATTTATAAATGCATTAAAGTAATGTTTATGATAACATTGTTAATTACATATACTTATTATTGTTTCATTTAGTACGTATCTGATTATTTCTTGCATTGTTAACGTAACGTCAATGTTTCTTTACGTACCACTCCACTACATACCATGTCAGGGGATCATGGACAACATTAGATAGCCACTGGCCTATTAGAGTTCTGCAAAAATTGTAACCTTGCTACTCGATAGATGTTGTTCACATTATAAATGTCCATTGCTGGCAAAGGCTTCTTTACACTTTTTCGTTTTTTTTGTTTTCTGAAGGCGGATTGGTGATTTCAAACTTATATTTCCTAATTATTAGTCAAGGTTTCCTCCCAATGTTTCCGTTCACCGTTTTTCAGTGTTTCAATAATCTTAGAAAGTACACAAAACTCGGAAAAGTCACATTGTCACTTGCAAGGTCTTGAACCCGCCTTGCGGGCGTGTTAGCTACTGAGCCAGCGAGATATAGACGGAATTATTACAGAACAAAGGGTTTCAGTAGGCTAGATTCAAACCATTGAGCCAGTTTTTGTATTTCGAACTGAAGGTCGATGAGAATAAGATTCAAAATTAAAACTCAATGGTTGAAACCTAGACTAAAATATATAAATCTTGTTTTGTAATAAGGGGGTGTGAATTCTACGTTACTACAATCAAATATTGCCAACCACATTAACACACAAACACAAGATATTCACAATATTTTTTTTTATATCCTGAATAACTTACCTCGTCGACAAGAAAACAACAGAAATCACTGATCCGATATCAATGTATCAAAAACAATTCGGCACAAGACCCGTATATAGAATATACATATAAGAAAAGTACACACAACACAACATAGCGACACCATAAAGACGAAACAGTTGAAGCCAGGAATATAAAAAGCTCATTCAATTTTTTCTTTTACACCACACTCCATAAAAGTAAAAGGACATAAAATACGATGCACATGCTGTCGCCTGTCAGCCACATTGTGTGAGGGAACTGAGAACCAAGTCGAGAATTATTCCTCAATCGGTACAAAAATGAATAACTCAAGACCTCCCTCATCAAATATGAATTTCAGTTTTTCTCAACACGCTTGACATCGATTCGATGCCTTTTTGACTTTGGCCATATTATAAAACTTCCTTATTGGTTATCCGTTGTTTACAATAAAAAGGGAATATGAAAGGTTCCTTTCAACTGATTTGATTGGGGTCATGTGTAAACATTTTGGTTTTAGGGACCTCTAGATTAAAAAACACAATGGTAAACTCGTCTTTTTCGCGTTTGATTAAGGTGTATAACCGAACTACGTATTACACGGTTGGATACACAGTCTTTTACTGTACTCTAATTTAACGATTGTTGCTGCTTATTTAATGACGAATTATTATTTCGAATTATTCAATTGTAAATGGTATTATAAAATGTTATTTAAAACAATTCCAATTTAATCATCTCATTTGACATGACATGAGATGATCAAATTGGAATTCAAAACATAAATTTCACAGTTAAGTTAATACAGCATCAGCGCATAAGAGCCCACTGAACGAAGGCCTCTGCTCACACGAATAAGGTTTGAGAAGGAATCGCCACGCTTGCTCAAGGCAGATTGGCGATTTCAAACTAATAATTAGTAATTATAACTCGGAAAAAGTCAGATTTGGAACCCGCACGAGAAGCGACTGCCGTAACCTGCGGACCACCACGTTGTGTAAACTACATTATATGTTTGACAAAAGTAAAACACCTTCTTAGGTGTTATTTACTAACTTGTACTAGCTTTAGCTACAAAAAGAAATTCATTGCTTAATACTTTTCTAAATCACCGGACTGTGAACCAGCATCTATAGAAAATGTAAGCTCAATACAGACAGACACCAAATATCCGAATTAATCCGATATTTTTCGAAAGCCTGTAGGTTTATTTGTAAAGACGTGGTCGTATTGGGCCCCGACAATTCGGACGCGGCCCGAAAGTGGCCCCGCGTATGAAAACAAACGACCACTACGTGTTTTGCTTACTCCTAAGGATGTAGAAAATTATCAAAGAATCTTTGATGTGGTATTTAATTGTAGATCTTGTGGGATATGTGTAAATGTTCTCGTATTTTTTTTTATTTAAATGCATCATAATAAAAGGATGTGGGTTCGAAACCTGACAAGTACCAATGTGACTTTTTCCGAGTCATAATTATGTACTTTCTATCATTATTTAGACACCAGTGACATACGGTGAAGGTAAAAATCGTGAGGAAACCTGTACTTATAATTTCTAATTATAAATTTGAAATCGCCAACCCGCATTGAGCAAGCGTGGTAATTAATACTCTAACCTTCTCCGTATGCGAAAAGGCCTTTGCTCAGCAGTGGGCACTTATAGGCTGACGATGATAATAAAACCAACGAATTAATTTGACTGCACGGTTGGTACAGTGGCTGGGCAACTGGCTGCCGTGCAATGTGTCCCGAGCAACTCTTTGTGCTATCCACAAATCGTTGTGACGAGTCTGGGTGTGGTGTACGAGTATATGTGAGATTGTATATGCAACCACGGTACAGCTATTTCATATAAATTTCTCTCATGAAAAAAATGCATTAGTATGTAATAATAATATTAGTATGTGATATACTTATCATCCAGATTCCGCCTAAAGGTTAGCCAAATATTATTTTCCTGCAACAAAAAAGGTGGAATACCATATCCATTCTTCCTTCTATAATCTAAAGCTCGTTCACAAGTAAGTAAGCACAGTTGATCTGACGCAAAGCCAGCTTGTTTAGACCATTGCATGTGTAACTAGCTTTATACCCCTCATACCGTATTCAAGTAACACGCAGAACATTCTCGAAGAAATAGACAGTAGTCATGAAACAAGAAAAAAGGTATGGAGTCGTTTATATTCCTAATCTCTAAAGGATAACGTTTTGAAGAATTTGGTTAAGTTTCTTAAGGCTAATATTTGTGAAATATTTTGATTTCTTCCGCTCCACCTTACGTAGGAGACAATTCTGGAGGTTTTTTCGTACAGTTTCATGAAAAATATAGATTTTACTACTTTTAAATCAATTCATTTTTTTAATATTTTAATGCATGCTGTGCAATAGATTTTTACACAAGTATTGTATTAAGATGCATAAAAATTATTGGGGAGAATAATTATCGTTTTGATAGTTAAAAATAAATAGAAAAGGATATCATTGACACTTTCTAAAAAATCCCTGGTATTGGGCAGGTCACATTTGTTGAAGAACCAATGACCGTTGGGGTAAACGTGTTCTAGAGTGGAGACCACGGCTAGACAAACACAGTGTAGGGCGCCCTCCAGCTACGTGGACTGGCGATATACGAAGGGTGGCTGGCATTGGTTGGATGAAAAGAGCTGAACATGAAGCTCAGTGGCGTATAATTGGGGAGGCCAATTTCCAGCAGTGGGTCGTCCACTGATCAGGCTGATGATGATGATGATGAACCAAAAAAATACAGGTCTCCGTATAGTGGCTGTATACCTAGCATAACTAACTTATAATATTATTTAAAAAACACTTCAACTTAAACTAAAGACTATATAAAAAGAAGAATTAACGTCTGTAATTAAACTCTCATAGCTAATAGATTGGCGTAATAAACTTACTGGAACCGCCACTTGACGTGCTGTAAACTTTGAACTTACTTTCAAATTGGAGGTAATAAAACGCGTACACCTTACAACTAATGCAATAAAGGTGATAATTGCACATCAAATCAAACAGTTAGACACGGGATGGGAGTAAAACTATGATGCCGTAACTCCAGCTTCGGGAGATCAGAATAAGTTTTTTCTAATTAGAATTCGATGAATTGGCCCTTTCCCGAACTCGCCTCGTCTACCAATCGAGAGCCAAAGTAATTAGTGACTCCGTTTTCTAATGAAATTCTGAGGACGGATGCGGCCATTCTTTCTCCTTTTATACATATTCGAACGCGATGAGATTTTACGATAGTTTTTTTTTTTGAAACTTTCTTTGTTACTGTTTCGACGGAGGATTTCAGTATTTTTTTTCAATACTTTTTACTATCAATGTTCTTAACTTAATCAACGTATAACAGGAATAAGAATGGCGTATACGACTAAAGGTCTTTATTCAAAAAAAAACACTATCACGCCTTTTATCCCCTAAGGTAGAAAAAGATGTACGCTATGACACGTACTGCCATATTAATTGTACCTAATATTTTTTTTTCAATTTTAATATAGGGGGGGCGCAAGTGCTATATATCACACAAAAACCTAACCTCTTTTTGTACTACTTACTAGTAAAAAAATCAAGAACTGAAAAAAGAACCAGTAATGCTTTAACTGATTCGGGAATCGATCCCGACACTTATTCAGCAGTCACACTTAAATTACACGACACAGTCTTTGTCCAATTACATAAGTATCTAAATTACTTTAAGATTTTATATTCTTTCTTGCATTTCGGCGATTCTGCCTAACCCTTCCAGGACTAAAACACGTGACACTACAAGAACTCAATATGGCGGCGTATAATAATTTACGCGACATATAACAATATAATGTTAGTTCAATAACAAGTATAATAGGACAGTTATAGGCTGTTATTGGATATTTATCTGCGTCGAATGGGGAAGGAATACTAATATCATTTCGCGCATGCGGACTGCAACGTAGTTTTGGTTCTAACATAGTTAGTAAGCAACTAAAATTTTTATAAAATTATAAAGTACCTACCTAAGTACACCAACTTACATATAAGTAAGACCTAGCCAATAAAATAATGTATAATATTGTTTAATTATTTTTGATTCATCAAACTAAGGTAATTCTGTGCTTAGCATTGAGAACGAGGCTTACTGACAGCATTTTTTATGTTATACGGCTACAAACGGACAGACATGTTTTCCAGTTTCATGGCCATTGCGAACCATGCTGTTATGTACTTATTTACCAGTGGTGGTTAAATTGAACCGTAACAAGTATCGATAGGTACCATGTGAACCTCATTACGAGTCGAGTGCCACAACATACATACTGCGCCACCTGACAAATGGGAACTTTTGGGATAAGGCAAGAACTGATAGCGAGTTCAAAATTTTTTTTATAATATGACTAGCAGCCCTCCCCCGCTTAGCACTGGTCAAACTTTCTAATTTACACCGAAAGGGTCATATTTTCCCGCGTACATTTATAATATTTTCTTTCCTTCTACTGAATATAAGACATACAACAAAAAAAATTGTCTATATTGGTCCAAGCGTTGTTGAGTTATGCGCTTACCAACAGATTTTGAGATCGATTTTTAATAAATAGATTTAAAACAATGAGGTTTAATTCAACTCAGTATCTCAATTGTAGATCATAGTTTTTTCATGACCAAGGTCTTAAATAAATAAATAGTGACAAGCTATGTCAGGTACACATCACACAGGCGAATGGATACATGACATGATGGAGATATTATTTCCAATAAAGACTTTGACAAGCTTAGCCTTATAAGAACAGCAAAACGCTACCTACTCCGCTCCTTATCTTTTTTTATAGTAAATAACAACGTTTTCAAGGTTTCTTAATTTTCTCCATTTTTTTTTTTGGATATGGAATAAGTCTTAACAGCTTTTGTGTCATACCTACAAGAAAAACCAGAGCATTTATTTTTTGTACTTATGTAAATCTAATTTGAATCGCTATCTCCTATACTTTAAGGCAGGCTTCACTTTACGACTTCAAGTTTAGCTCAAACTGCGAATACTTTACTACAACAACGCCACAGAACTGTGTTTTGAATGCAACAAATCCAGCTGAATGGGTTTTCCATGCTGTGGGAACTATTTTATTTGTCGTTCACCTCTAATTGACCTTGTTACTTTTATTTTCATTTTTAAAACGAAATCCCTTTGTATATAAATATAAAATACAATGCTTACAGTGTAATAGTCGACCTAATGAGCCTTCTCATCATTGGCTTATAAGTACACCCATTGCTGAGCAAAAAGCATCTTCTCATCGTTCAGGGTTAACCACCACCACCGCTTGGTTAAGGTGGATAGTCAATATCAAACTTATTTGAAATTTTACATCTTGTTATTTCTTTCATAATATGTCTTTCCCACTGCACTGGGTGTATACGATTTTTCATTTTATGAAATCACAACAATTCTTAAATGTTATTTCCGCTCTTCTGTTTTTATCAGCCAGCAATCTGTAGAGTCCAAATATTGCTTACCTATCTTTTTTGTTAAAAGACAAAGGATAGCAAAATTATAAAAATGTTAACAAAGGTAAACATAACCTTTTGTTTTGATTCTAATAACATACAAACATACATACACCGTTATATCTTCAAAAAATAAAAATAAAAACACATAAAACCAAACAATTTTGTCCCGCTTGCTATAAAAACATAGTTACCCTACTCCCGTTGATTTGCATTAAAACCGTTTCTCGGGAAAATGTTCCGGAAATTCTAGAAATTTGTGGACACTGTACGCACTTTGGCGGAGTTTATGAGTTTAGTTACAATTAAAACGATTCATAACCTCGTTTATATTCATACTGCAGTTGTAAAGAAGTCGCTCTTTTGTTTTAATCTAAAGTTGTTCCACGGAATGGGTGTATTTGTATTTTTGATACTTATGTGTATGTCAAGTCATATAGTATGAAATGTTGTAAATATTTTAAATAAGTAAGTAAGTACTAAGTTCCGTTAATGGTTTTTATTAGTTACAATGTATAATTAAACACTGTGCCGTTTCAGTGGAGTGATACCACGGTCTCACAGATACTGGCGTGAAACGACAATTGCGTGGAACCAAATTTTAATATACTACAAAATACAATGAACATCGAATGTCTTATCAAATCTGTAACTTTATACACTTTGACAAAGATACGTAATATTATTCAATCACCAAATTTATATCGTTATAAATTTAAAATGCAACAGATAAAAACAATTATCAAAAAATGTACAAAAACAGAACATTATTCACTTGTCGGTTTATGTCTATACTAAAATAGAAAAGAGGTTTTATGCTAGATAATAATAAAAAAAAACTTTTTTCTCCAAAACTCCAAAAATACGTACCTATACTATAAATTCCAATACAAGTGATTACATATTCCTAAACACAAACTTGTAGAGACACGTCAAATACGATATATCTACCAGGACCACAGAGAAGCTGTGTGTCATCCGTGTGGACATCCGCTGCGGTTACTGCACCCGTCAAAGGGACACCAGGGCTAACTCAATAGACGAATAATCTCGTTCCAACTGTTTACTTCAGTTGTAACATTTCTAATTGTAATTGATACGGAAATATGTAGACGTGTAAGTTAGGGAAGGTTAATCTGTACATAGAGTATTATGTATTTCTACTGGTTGTAAATCTTCAAAATCAGTGACTTACGGCTAATATTAATCTAAAAATAAAACCTTTGAATTAATCATGGTCTTAAAAAATCCATTTGAAACAAAGCAAGTATTAAATCAGATTTTTTCCATCGATAAAATATTATCTCTTGAATGTATATATGTATAAATGTCAAGTATTGAACGGTACAACATACACCTATATAAATATAGTCAATCAACCAATAGGTACCAGGGTACCATCAAACCAAAGAGCTCAAAAACTATTCGCGACACGTCGATCAGAGCACAGCAGGTCTTATTCAAATACGGTAAAAGCCTGTGGTATATATTTACCCAGTATTTACCTACACTCCCGATACCATTAGCCACGAAACGGGATCGACTTGGGAACGAATAAGGAGCAATTTACGCCTATTGCGAACCTCTTGTGAACCAACGAAATGTAATTTACATTTTTCGCTTTTAGGGTGTTTCGAGGTTAAAAAACCGTTTCTAATCGAGATTAAGTTTGGACCCGAATCCTAAAGATTGTCAATGTTTAATAAATTGAAGTATAAAATAAATTCTGTGCTGTGCTGGCACATTTCCCCAGATAAGATATTGATATTTCCAAAAATAGAATAAAAATGGACTCGTTTTTGCTCCCTACGTGTTTCGCACTTGGATACTCTAAAGTCGATAATTAGATACTTTTTACAGCGCGCAATTTAACTCTCAACTTAATTTACAAAGAAATTAATTATTTGGCAGGCTATTTGCTTTGACAAAATCAGCCGCACTGCCTAATGCAAGTCACTTAATCAGCCAGCTGATACTTCAGCTGAAACTTAGTTACACAAGTCACCGCGGTTGTGCTGAGTCTACACGACTGACAATGTTGGAACAAAGTTTTTGCCAACGTATAAAATGAAAATAGAAAATTCAGGCTAGTGATTTGGGTCACCCAAAATTAATCTTGTCCATGAAATAATCGGATGACGCTTATAATTAAAATTGTTTATTTATCAAACATCTTAAATTACTGAAATAAATCATAGGCGAACCTAAACCAACAGCACCCACTATTTTAAATTAATATCATGTAAATGAACCAATATTGTGGAAAGCCAATATTACTCTAAATAACATCCAATATTGGTTCAAATCCTTCCCAAAGTCTGCACGGAGCATTAGGAACCGCGCGATAATTTCGCAGCACCGCCATTTTGCGGGACGCCTAATTGCAAAACTGTCATGGCGACGACACAGGCCCGCATTCCCGCTCACAAGATTTACACTGAATGCCTGAATACCGCCCTGTGTCTTAGAAATCTAGCCGGCTCTAAGTACTCTTGAAAGGAATTTACCCCGGTACCCCGGATAATTTAAAGGTGAATGTTATTTTGAGGTATCTGCTCTGCGACATTTTGTTTGTTATTATTAAGATATAGTGTGTATATTTTTTCTATAGTAAAGATTTACGTAAGTATATTAAGAATATGATATTATAACCTGGCAATTGACTCTGATAAATACCTGAGAAGTCAAAAGTTTAAAACATGATGGTCGTTGAAAATCAACTATTTCTTTTCACAAAATAATAAAAGAACTAAACAAAGTAATAAAACTGGAACGTTACTTGATTTTCATATACGAAAGCTTTGAACAAACTCTCAATAAAACCGATCCAGACTTTACTTACCAATGAAAATGCACTCTAGAAAATTCGAATAATAAAAATGCTAGTGCATATACAATAAGCATATTTATTACTGGATTGTCTGACATATTCTGAATCGTTTTCAATTGGAATTCAATCCCAGTAATGCGTAACACTCGTTTCATATTGAAAAATATTTTGCTCAACAAGTTGACCCGGTATTGAGCGGGAACGCTGATATGAATGAAATTCTCTTTTAAAATGCATCGAGGGCTTGTCAAACAGCGCCGGGCCTGGTAATACTCTGTAGTGAGTACGTTAGTACATTCATGTGATGGGATTAATCTCTTTATCGTTAGTATTATTTTGCAGTGTGTGAATTGAATGTTTATGAGAAAATGTTAACATTTTGAGTTTATTAAATGTTATCGATTTTAAGCGAAATGATATATTTTACGTCTTTTTTGCAAATGCCTTGAAAACTGAGTTATTTACAGATATATATTAAGGCCTCAGGAACCGGTGGTAAGATCAGAATAACGTTTGGCTTAAAACAACCGAAATCATAAAATTGTTACCACATTCCATAAAAACAATAAAATTACTCTCACATGTACACGATATAAAAACTACCAATAAAACGTTATCTTATCCAACGTACTAGGGCGACATGAGCCGTTAGGAATACATACATAAACAAAAACTGTTGGCGTACCAGGCGCACATAAAATTCCTTCTATCACCCACAGCCCTGTATATTTCCCGTTCGTTATTACAGTACATTACAGTTAGTAGTAGTAGTAGTGCTATGATATTGAATGAAATATATTATATCGATATTTTGCTGAGCTTACATTTCTAAACAAATCTTGTCCTTAAGAAGGTAAATCTAAAATAGGAGCGTTTCGCAAATTCGCAATTCACTTAAAACAAACGAAATTTTGAAAATACAACTTGAATTATTTGTAATACCTATATTGTTATGAAGGAATGTCCATAACTTACAAAAAATCTGTATCACAATACGAGTAAGTACACATATTAGACTTAAATGTGAAATTATCGATAGTTTTTGGCTGCCTAGTTAGTGGAGTGCCCTAGCGGAAGGAAGTGGCAAACGAGCGGCGGCACTTCCGTTCTTCTTTCAGCAATTGCAACTAAAGTTTTGTGTCAAACGTAATTACTCTATTGCCCTTTCTCTGACACTTTTAGCTGCTATTTGGGATCGTGTCACATTTCTTTGTAGCTTTATTTTGTAAAGGAGATCTTTTCATTTGGGTCTCGGCCTTTGAAAGATTCCTCTTGACTTTGTGTATATGATACTATACTACGTCTTTTATGCTGCCCTAGTACGAAATTCTTTTAATGACCTTTGCTTAATGGTATCTCATGTAAGTACCACGTTAAACTGCCACAATTCATGTGTTTGGGAACATGTTAATTATCGTTGTATTTTTTTTTCTATTTTAAATGTTTCCTGTAATATGCAAGGTCTTTATTCTGTCTGTAACTTCATAAAGTGAACTGAGTTTAAAATTTTCCAGGGCCATTCTATTCCATTTATCCATCTCGATTTACTACATGCATATTTACTTCGTTATTGCTACAATATCCGATTCTAGTAGCGATATTAAGTACTACTCCGAATTCAGTTCTACATGCACCCGTAGTGGTTGTTTTTTATATGATACGCTGACAAACGAGCAGACGGTTTACCTAATGGTAAGCTATTAACGCCGCACACGCACACCTGCAACTCCAGAGAAGTTAAGTAAGGGATTGGGGAAGGAATGGCCTACGTCGCGAAACACAATACAAAACAAGGTTTTATTTTAGTCTAGGACTAAACCATTGAGCCAGTTTTTGTATTTTGAATTGAAGGTGGATGACAATAAGATTCAAAATTCAAAACTCGACTCAATGGTTTAAACCAGGACTAAAGATAAATCTTGTTTTGTAATAAGGGGGTGAGTGTTGTTTGACGCAGGTATTTTTTGAAGCCGTTGTTTCACTCCGTTCGAAACGGCCCATTAGTGTCGAAGCATGCCTTTGCCACACTAAGATACATGTGTCGATATTAATACATGTAGATTGTAGATATACCTAGTATAATTTAATATTAATTGTGGTACCACAACCACGTATTGGCTATGTGCGCGACGGTGGCGACGCGTAGCCTTTACAACATTTGCGGAACCTGTCAAATATAAATTTTCTTTGCACATATAAACTTAACCAAAGAATAAAATAGTATTGTTGACATTATTTAAGTGCAATTTATTCAATAGTTTCACTGTAAAATGAATATAATAATAAAACCGACAGCTGATCGTCCGGATTTGTTTCCAATTTCTGCCGTGTTGTGCGCTGCGGTCGTTATCTGTCCGCCACTACTCGTTTTGCACATAGCCAATACTAAAACTGTAATAGCACTACCTACATTTTACTACATCACTATCATATTATTATCAACTAAAATGCACGATACAGAGTAATATTTTAAAAATTCCCATTTCAATAATATTGACAGTTTAATGTGATACTTCCATCAATTTTATTGAACATTGAATATGCGATTAGTATTTATGATAGCTCCTAAGTTGTATTGGCAGATACACGACTGTAGCGAAGACATTCATGTACGTATGAAATGGAATTTAAATTATTAAAAAATATATATTAAAATGTGTAATACCCCTGGGAATATCTAAGACAGATACAAATTTATAAATTATAATATAATTATTTGGTATTGCGGAATTTATTTTTATAGATATTTATTTATTTTTTGTAGATATAATTTATGTAACCTAGAGCTTTAGATAGCTCATAGCTGCAGTATGTTTTTCTTATTATAATATTAACAAATAAAGTTTATTGTACACCAAAAGAGTTGACATGCATAGTACAAAATTACAGAATCCAATGTAGTTACTAGGTGCAAAGGCGGCCTTATCGCTAAAAGCGATCGATATAATAATAGTTTTTCTCTGTGAAATAATTTCCAGGCATAAAAACTGACATTTATATTAAGTGTATTTAATTTCTTTAAATACTAGAAAAAATATTTATTTCAATGAAAACAATAGTTTTCATAATTAGCATAATTTCACATATTTAGCATTTCATCATAGAAATATTACTTGTCGCATTCAATTTTTTGGGACTGAAACGATATTTTGCTATGCTAACCAAACTGGTACTTACCTACATCAAAAGTACTAAGCATAAAATAAAAAAAGCAATCAACTATCTATCTATAAAAATATTATTTATATATTTTTCCTAAATTGGAGTCACATTATAATTCATTTACTTGTTGTGACCGAATTATTTATTTTTAGAAGCAACTTTTCTTTTAATTCTAGGCCTTCAACTTTACGTAATACAACGATCTAGATAAATATAAGTTTATGAATTAGACTAACATATAATATATAAGTTACATATACACGTAATAAAATAAATAGCAAATACTTTAGCAAAATGTTATCCGTGCCTAAAGCATCTTAGAAAAATGATTACATAGAGAGTTGGCGACGGTCCAAAAGTCCGATCCAATAGTAAAATGTTATAGTTTTAGTTTATAAAAAAACGCATTACAGATGAAAATAAGATCTTAGTTTAAGCGTTCTTACAAACTTTGTGCTCCTAAGAATAACATTTGGAGAATTTCGAAAGTTAATATTTATGTACGATTTAGCTGAGAACACGTTTGTGCAAGCCACAGAATAAAATAAGTATTTTCATAATTGGAGATTAGTTTGAGTTTGCAGATTTGTATTTGGATATTGAATCGCAGTTTGATGTAGTTATAGGCTAGAAACTTACGTTTATAGAATGTGCACCAGTTTAAAATATGAAGCAACTTCATAAGAAATTGTTAGAAAATGTGATAAATGTGGGAAAGCTATGCTTCAGCATGAATGGGTCAGTTCTACCGGAGTGATACCACGGCCTCACAGATTAACTTGCGTGAAACAATCACAGCGTTGTGTATCGCCGTGTGAGTGAGGTTACCGCAGGCCTAATCTTTCTCCAACCGCCATCCCTTTTGGAGGCCGGCCTTTTGGAGATTTAGGGAGCGAGCACACTCGTAATTCGTCTGTTGTTAAGGGTGTACATGGTCAGCTCGTTTGTTTTAAAATCTAATCATTGAATGAATCAAACGAATCTAATTAAATATCTTAATAAACATGTTGTGCCCGCTAAAAAAGGACAGCTCTATTTAAACAAAATGAGGACGCCATAGCGTCTCTCTAGCAACTCCTGAAGAGGTCTTACCGCTACTATGACAGCGAGCGCGATTATTGCGCTTACACCCACAAACATAAAATATGTAGTGATTTATATATACACGTGTAATCTTCTTCTTAATCTTTGTACGGTATAATGACATATTATTGTTTTATTTTCGTGTTAAGGTTGAAGAATTGTTTTTATTATAAACTGCAAATAATAAAGATATATCTACATATATCTTTATTATAATAAGATCCACCAAAAATTACGAAACAAAGCGACGAAAAATAATCTATTACTCGGTTTAACTATTTTTAGTGTAACTCTCAATTAATAACAACAAAGTTTTGGGTCGCCGTTGTTTGCGAAATTTGTTCTATGGAATGTGACCCTACCATGGGTAGGCATTGTTGCGCGACAACTCGCTACTCCGCCATGATGCCCTGGTGATTAATGTCGCAGATTTTGGATTAACGCTTAGGTAATTTTATTCTCAAATACCTCGTTTGTTATCCATCTTTATC